TCTCCTGCATACCTCCTTATCTCCCATCTCCTTATCTCCTGGCTCTTTTACTCCAGATCCTTAAATCCTGCCTCCTTATCTCCTGTCTCCTTATCTCCTGCCTCCTTATCTCCTGCATACCTCCTTATCTCCCATCTCCTTATCTCCTGGCTCTTTTACTCCAGATCCTTAAATCCTGCCTCCTTATCTCCTGTCTCCTTATCTCCTGCCTCCTTATCTCCTGCATACCTCCTTATCTCCCATCTCCTTATCTCCTGGCTCTTTTACTCCAGATCCTTAAATCCTGCCTCCTTATCTCCTGTCTCCTTATCTCCTGTCTCCTTAACTCCTGTCTCCTTATCTCATGCCTCCTTACCTCCTGTCTCCTTAACTTCTGTTTCCTTATCCCCCGTCTCCTCAACTCCTCTCTCCTTATCTCCTGCCTCCTTATCTCCTGCATACCTCCTTATCTCCCATCTCCTGGCTCTTTTACTCCAGATCCTTAAATCCTGCCTCCTTATCTCCTGTCTCCTTAACTCCTGGCTCCTTATCTCCTGCCTCCTTAACTCCTGCTTCCTTATCTCCTGCCTCCTTAACTCCTGTCTCCTTAACTCCTGCCTCCTATCTCCTGCCTCCTTAACTCCAGCCTCCTTGACTCCTGCCTCCTCACTGTCTGAGTTCTGGGTCTGACCCGGGTCTGGTCTCTTCAGGGACATGCCTGTAAATCTCTAAAGGGAGGCGTCCTGATCTGATGATCCTGCTCATTCATCCGTATCTTGTTGTTTTATACATTTAGTGTTAGTTTTTATTATTTATGGTGTTATTTGATTGTGCTAGTTTAGCTGACGACTTGTTTGTTTCTGTAACAGAAGGAGAGTCACACATGAAATTATCTGTATGTTTTGCACATATGAAGCATTGACAATAAAACTACTTGAACTTGATCCTCCTCAGTGGACTCCTTTAGATCCAGAGGAGCAGCAGCTGGACTCTGAGCTCCTGACCTGGTCTGTAAGGCTGGTCCACCCAGTTTCAGTAAATCCAGAGCGCTGACTCTCAGTCACCACAGCCGACCGAAGCAACGCCCTCATTACTGAGGTCCAGATCCTGCTCCACCCCCCGGGACTGAGCCTCCTGGGCTCCTCCACCTCCTGGTTTCATTTCACAGCAGGTTTCAGTTAAGGAACCTCCACAGCTGCGACTCCTCAGGGTTTCAGTTCCTTCTGGTGGTGTCTCTGTCTGTGGGATCCTTTCTTTAGGTTGATATTTTCTGAGCTTCCTGCCACTCGGGGCCTTTTTGTTCTTATAAAATGGTCTCTTGAGTTTGAAGGAACAAAACACTTCATTGGTCTCAGTCAGTTTCTGACTTCAGGCCTGGGCTCAGATGCTTCAGGTGTCCAGATGACGAGGTCTAATTGTTGGCTCTGAGGGACGTGTTGACATTAGCTACACCCTGCTGTTGTGACAACAACAGGCTCGAGCTGAAACTCCTTCCTTTTCGTCAGAGGAGCGAAGCGTCCGAGGGTCCGGCAGCAGCAGCAGTCAGTGCTGTGAGCAGCTCTCCTTCTCCTGCAGTCAGTTATTATTCTGGATCAAGCCGTGTAATGTGCTGCTAACTGGCAGCTTTAACCACCTCTCTGCCTCTCTGTCATTAGCATAGCGTGGGAGGCAGAGCTGATTGAGAGGCCAGTTGGCGGTTGGAAAGAAAATTTCTTTTCAGATTCTTTGTTCCTGTTCTGCGTTAGCACCACAAGAAAAAAACAAAATCACAATCTCATCAACATACACCTCCATCTCTCATGTATAATGATGTAATCTCCACATTTCATAACTTCACATTAGACAGATGTGCAGAGAGGCTGAGAGGGTTTGATCAATCACACCACACATTTTCTGGTGCAGGGAAACAGGCAAATGTTGCCAATAATCAGTATTTAAATGTTTCAGTTGGTAACAAACTTGGAAATATCAAACTCTTTTTAAGCTGTGATGTAAAACAAGCTGCAAAAAATATAATAAAATATGGTTTTAAAGTGCCTGTGACATATTTTTAAAATGAATATAAAGGCAATATTGGAAAGATAACATTATTAGCATATTACAAGGACTGAGATATTTGCACGTGAAGGAACAGGAAGTGATGTCAAAGGGGAATGCCTGAACAAAGCATTGATAAAATAGCTAACAACACAGAGAAGAATCTGATGTTTCTTTAGATCATTTTGAGTCTCTATCAGAGAGATGAAGACGAGTCAGAGTTCAAATATTGTTTCAATAAATGAGTTTTCTTTCTTAAAGAGTTCCCCTTTGATGTCACTTCCTGTTGCTTTCTGGCTGAGCCAAGTTCAAAAGAAAATATGTACTGTAGTTATCTGACAAAATGGTAAAATCACGTTTTATGCAAGGTTTCCTATATAAAATGTGTTTTCTTTGACTTTTTGCATTTGATGGATAGGCATGTCACATACACTTTAATGTTTTAAATTGAAAAAAATTTTTTTGGTGACAATACATAAAACTACCCAACAGGGTACTAAGTATGAGTACTTAAAGAGCCTGGCACAAACCAGGTGAGTACCAAGGTACAGTGTAGTCAGGTAACAGGTATGTATTCAGGTAACTACTGAAGAACCAGGATGTACTTACACCCCAAACTTAAAGACATCACACCTGCTGCATGTAAATATATTTATTTCACTGGAACTGAGGATTATTGTTTTACAAAATAATAAATCAACACCTGACCAAACTGTTTGGTTTGTTTGCACAACCCCCACAAACTTTATCAGTTCAGGGTATTTTTCAGCTTTTATCACCATCATTTAATGAGTTCGACTCGTCGCCTCGGCTGTGAACGCTAATAAACAAAACTTTGGAAATCTAAAAATGAAACAAAGAAAATTCATAAAACTGGATGTTTGTTGGTTTGATCTAAAACCCGAGATCTTACGGAGAAGTGAAGAGACGGATGACTATAGGCAGGGCAGGCAAAGACTAAGGGAGCTGTCCATCTAGGGGGCGCTTAAAAATATCTGACAACATTTTCTCAGAGATAGTTGATTTAGTCTGTAGAATAATCTCTGGTTCCTCAGTGCAGAGGATGTTTCATGATTAAAGTATCACATGAAGCAGTCAGGACTAACTGCTGGTGCTCTGAGTGTAAATAAAAACAAAATAAAGATAATGGACATTTCAGTTATGATCTCTGATAAAGTTTGATGTTACATTCATAAAATACTGATTTTATGTTGTTTTATTAATCCCCAAACATTTAGTAAAATGCTCTTCTGTTCGCAGGAAAATACAAAGTTTTGAGTATTTTTTTGGAGCATTACACCCCTGGACCCCCCTAGAACTGCTTCAGTCCACAGCTGCTGGCTAACATGAACAGGTGTTCCTCATCATGTCAGCAGATGTTGGCAGGTATGACTTTTGGTATTCTGTTATAAATTAGTTGTATAGGTTGTGTCTCAATTCATGGGTTGTAGCCGACATAGACCGCGGTATAACTTCATAAAATTCACTTTTAATTGAAAAACGTTACAAGTAAATGAATAAAGCATTAATAATTTGGCTTTAGCTCCAGTATCAGCACTTGTAACTGTGTTTTATTTAACATCTCACTGAAACAAAACTTTCTTCAGCCAAGTTGTTTAACTTACATTTTTCGGTCCGTGAGAAATTTCCAAATTCTGTAATTAAAAAAAACCTCAGCCATAAAATTTAACAAAAATTTATCCGTCTTAGTTTTTCTGTTTAATTTGCTGACGGTGCAATTAATTCTGGGATACCGTCGGGCTTGTAGGATACTCAGATGCAGCCGACGTTTTTGGGGTTTGTCGGCCACATATGTAGGCGTCTATGAATTGGGACAGCCTACGGCATGGGGCGGTGACAACCCATAATTTGGGACACGGCCATTGTTAACTACTTCTATTGTTTTCTATCAGTTTCTACAGATAAAAAATATGACAAATTATTTTATTATATATTGTAAGACAAAATTATTTAATTTGGTATATGAAAAACTGGCATGGTAAATTGTAACTTTTTATTAGTATTAGAATTTTTTTAAATTCCTTTTACATTTCTTTTGTTCTTTATAATATGGACCAGGGTTCTGTGTTTTTAATAAAACTTTAATTGAATTGAATTGAACTGAATTGACAGTGAGATTAAATTGCACAAAGTGGTGCCACCTGAACTCTTACCTGGGGGCCCTAATTAGCTAGGACCGGCCCTGGATGGGTGGAAAAAATGTGGAGAAATGAGAAAAAGTTTAACTGCTCATATTGTCCATGAATCACATAAAAAAATAATTGACTCACTTTCTACTGCGTTTCTGTCTGCCTGTGTTATTAAGTGTTGTCAGGTATGGAGAGCCGTTTCGTTCAAATTGAAATAAATAAAAAATAACAAATACTGTAATTAATAAAACATTAATAAATATTCCATTTAATAAATATATGAAATAAAACAAAAATCAATAAATTATAAAC